CCACCTGATGTGCAAGATAGGGAGGTCCTATGTTCGGAACATCCATAGTGCAAGGATATGCACCATTGAGGCCATTAACTTAAAAACGTCCTCATCTTGGATTACCATCTTGGCGTTGGGTTAGTCATTTTTTTGCCTCAATTTCTTGCACTTGAATCAACAAGTGATCCTAAACTTTGTTCTTGTGACGTTCACTTAACCCGGATCGCTTTTTGCAGATGTAATTAATTCATAAATTCCAGTGGCCTCTTCCAACTCCTCCATTAGAATCACTTCCGTTCACAAATTGGTCCTTTCTGATTGCCGTTTCATGTGGATGACTGAGGCCAACTGGACAGGCCTGGTCTCGCGCCACTCTTCAGTGAGATCTGCCAATGCTCCTCTCTCACCATCCGTCCACACAAAATCAATGCCTTTCAACTTTGTATTTGTCCAGTTGCTATCTGCTCATATGCATGCTACATATTTTGGGCCAACTTGCATATCATTGAGTGCCCAGGAAATAATTAGCGTCAACTCTACTGACATTGGCAATACACAACCTATGGTGGTAAAGTATTCTGGTTTTTGACAACAAGAACTGGGAAACATTTGTGATTCTTCTGATGTGGTTTTCTGGTGGTTGTCCCATGCATTTCCAGCAATAGGAAGATCATTAACCACAAAGCGCCAACAGAGCATAAAGTGTGTCTTTGATTAATGTAACACATTAAAGGGGACAGGAGGCAAAATCAACTTTATTTTTTAGCTTTTAATCATGAGTACTTTTTTCCTACATATAACACAGATAAGTTTTTGATCCATCCACACTAAACATGTAACTCTGCCCTTTCTGTATCAAAGCTCCTGTCTCTGGCCTGTGATGATGATACAATTGTCTCAAAATTACATCAAAACTTACAGTAAAGCTGTTTTCTGCCTTTTCAAACAAAATTAGTGCTCTTTAAATTAGTTTTGGCAGTTTTTCAGATGTACTAAATGGCATGGCTATGTTTGCATACCATCATTTTCCAATTTGAAAAAAAAAAAAAATCATTTTTCACACCTCCTGCTGGTGGGAGTGGGGAGTTGCAGACTGAAACCATGTTATACCCTTCACACTTGTTTCACCAAAACTTGTTCCACTTAAGATATTCTAAAACATGAAATCACAAACTAAATAGTAGCAGTATAATCTTTAGTGGCCAAAAAAAAACAAAATCAATGGAGTAACTTACTTACTTTTGTTCTTCCATAAACAACAAACTACTGAGAACAAATCAGACGACAACATGCTGCCTTAATCCTATAAGAAAATATGTTATTGTTGGCATACTTGTTAGAAAGATCCCGGTGAGTCACTATTTGACACTTTGGGCTGACAGCTGCGTGAGGGTGGTCCTTTATTTTTGTATCACTTTTCTGTCTGAAAAAAGCTGATAAAAAAAATGTGACAGAAGCCAAAAATACATGCGTGTGAAATCCATCTATAGTTAGAAGAGGGAACTAGAGATTGTTTAGTGCATCATTCTATTGTATTTTGTATTGTAGCTATTGGGCGGTGTTGCAGTGGTTAGCGCTCATGACTCACAGCAAGAAGGTCCCTGGTCCTGGGTAGTTTGCATGTTCTCCCTGTGCCTGTGTAGGTTTCTTCAGGGTTCTCCGGTTTCCCCTACCGCTAAAAACAAGTACAATAGCGACCCACCTCCCAATTCTGTGTGGAGTGAGAGACAAATGCCCACAACAATTATAAAGGGCTTTTTTATTCTGGTCTGTGAAAGGCGCTGTATGAATAAATATTACTCAATTACTTACTATGTTGTATTGCATAAAACGCTAAGCACTTCAGCTAAAACAGTTCTTAAAATAGGACAATTCTGTATCATCGGTTTTCTGTTATAGTTGTAATCATTCATTACAACCGAATTTTTAAAAATTCTATTTCCTTATTGGTCATTTCCCCAATTATCGTCGCTAAATGTAGCCATTGCTCTAAAAACATGCTTCCTTCAACCCACATTTCCTGCTTGATTCACCCGTCTAACTACCACCTCCCTCCAAATAACAATCTTTGCCGTAAACAAACATTTCTCTCCTTTGTTCACCAAAAACCAGAGCATTTTCCGAATAAATATCCTGGCAGAATTCTGTGCACAAAAGTCAGCCCAACATTAAAACCTAACATTAAAAAAACACGGAATAAAGAACGAGACTTGCACTCCGCCCACTCCCTTTCTTCCCTTGAGTTGAGGCGTATCGACCGCACTTAAGAGCTTTCTGTGCCACCGTTCTGTGTGCATGTGCAAGCTGCATTTGATGGTCGAATAAAGGACTACATGTTTCGGGATCCTATTAGTCATGTTTTGTCATTTTGATTTAATAAGCTTCAATTTCCAATGTGGAGAATGGATGTATGCACTTAGAGTTTTTTGTAAGAATCAATAAAAGGGCATCATTGTTGGTGGTGGTGTTGGAGTGAGATGGAAAGCATTCTCTTGCAATGGATGCGGCTTCAGACAGTTTGAACTGATTTTCTGCAGATTCAAACCAACTAGAATCATAAACAATAATATGTTGATGCGAGTTGACGTAACAGTGTATTTAATTGCATATCATTATTTGCTAGAGACCGCAATTTTGTGCCCTCCAACTAAATACTGAGATCAACTCTTGTTTGTCAGATCACCCTGCAGCATAGAGAATACCAGTCCTTTGCTGTCAATGTTAATTTTGCCTATAAACACCAAGCACAAGATTAATACATCTAAAATATACTCAGAAATGTCTAACTCAAATGACCAGAGGACAATCTAAAGCTGGAAAATATTTTTGGAATTGCAACGACTGTCATTTTGTATACTGTCGTTAAACCTGTAACTATATTGTACTATTTTAACGGCTCATATGTGCTCTTGTAACATTCTAACACATTATAAGGATTGCAATGGCTTGAATTCAGGTTTTTCTTATACAAATTTTTGGGGTTGAAGCCATTGCTGAGTTGTCACAAGAAACTTAAAGCTGTAATATATACAGTACATTTGCCAAGTCTGTCTCCTCACCACATTGACAAAGGGTTCTTGCTTGGAATAGGAAATGGAATGTTGTTTAAGTAAAACAGTAATGTCTACTGTAGTCTGTGTGTGTCTTGTGTGTGTTTGTCTGTGTCTTGTGTGTGTTTGTCTGTGGCTTGTGTGTGTTTGTCTGTGGCTTGTGTGTGTTTGTCTGTGTCTTGTGTGTGTTTGTCTGTGGCTTGTGTGTGTTCGTCTGTGTCTTGTGTGTGTTTGTCTGTGGCTTGTGTGTGTTCGTCTGTGTCTTGTGTGTATTTGTCTGTGGCTTGTGTGTGTTCGTCTGTGTCTTGTGTGTGTTTGTCTGTGGCTTGTGTGTGTTTGTCTGTGGCTTGTGTGTGTTTGTCTGTGGCTTGTGTGTGTTTGTCTGTGTCTTGTGTGTCTATGTCTGGACTGTTGGCTTGTTTGTCACTCATCCCATATGTTTTGCCTTGTTTTATATTGATTGATGCCTGTATGATTTTGTGTTGGCTGCAGAAGACATTATTTAGTTGTTGTTGGGGCATCATTATTGTTTTGAATTTTCAATGCCATGTCATGGGTTGTCAGGCCTTGAAATAGTAAGTAAGTAAGTAAGTAATCTTTATTTATACACCACCTTTTACAGACCAGAGTCACAAAGCGGTTTACAATTGTTTTTTAATTTTTTAATTTTCATAAATAATAATAATGCTAAATGCAATAATTAAAATCATAAAAACAATGGTATTAGATTAGAGCCACCATGAAATAAGACAAACAAGTCAAACAATTACTCTGGCAGAACGATCGTGCAGGTGCAGTTGGACGCTGTGAGTCAAAACCCATGGATCCCTACTGTTAACAGTGATTACAAATTGGACCACAATTTTCAAGATTGAAATTGCAGTTAGCATGTTGTTCAACCAATTGCTGCCCCCTATTGATTTTCTGTAATGGGAAATTACTATTACTGTATTCTGTTTATTTTTTATCTAAATACTGTAAAGCCCAGTGTGTGCTTGTTCCAACACACTGGACTGACAACTTTGGAATGCAAGGTTTCTGATTTATCCACGTTTTGGTGTTATCATGAAGTGTTCAATCTCCTATCTTCCTGGTACCCCTTTCCAAACTCTCACTCCTCTCATGGCTCCGATTTCATCCTGGATGTTATAAGGCTGTGATATACTTTGTTCTGGGCAGATGTAGCAAACCTCTCAGATTTACTACTGACGTATGCCTAAGCTTGATGCTCTGTGCGTATATAGATGTACAGTATGTATAGAGTATGTGTGTACGTGTTTTTGTTGGGTACTTTGTTATTACTTTTCATACGGTTTGTAATTGTTTTTCCATTGAACTTCACGGAGACCAGGAAGAATGGGGATCTTTTTCAACTAAACTTAATACACTTGTTATACACATTTGTACATACATACTTATATATCAGAAAGTACGGTAATAATAAAAGTCACACCACCTAAATTTGATACGAAAATCAATTCTGTCCACATATAGCCTGCAACTGAAGTTATTGATTATTATGCTGACTGTGCAGCACTTTGTAAACACTGTTTTTGAAACGTGCTATACAAATATATAGTAATTGAATGATGTCCAGTTAAAGCTTAAACATTAGCTTCCATGGGCGCAATCATTCACCAGTCTATCTTGACAATAAACAAGTGTCCTACATCTACTAAGACATGATGGAGTCTAAATAAAAAGTCCATAAACTCTGCTCTGACTACACTATCACGTTAAAGAAAAATCACATATCACATAAACTCTGCTAGCCGCAACAGAACCAAAGTAATGGCTTATAGTCTGGAAATTACGGTATTTTATGTATCTTTCATTACTTTCACTATGTCTTTCATTACTTAATAAATCACATCAACAACACCTGTTTGCCCTGAATCATTAAACAAATCACCATAACACAATTATTAACAGCTGAATATTAATCATGTTATTTTGTGTGTTCATCAGACATAACAGCAAAGGACTTCATCGATCGGAAGGGGAAGCAGCGCAGCCGTTATGAGCTCCTGGTGGACTTCCTGTCAGAGATGTTATCAGTGCCCCCTGATGACGTCAACATCTTTAGCCTAATGGACGTGAAGGACAAGAGGCTGGATGTTCGCTTTGCCGTCTTTGGACCGCCGCTGTTCCTCCAGCCAGAGAAAATGCATGGCTACCTCGCCGCCCACAAGCAGAAGGTATGTCTTAGAACACTTGGAGTTAGAACAGTAGACTTTAAACTTATGTGGAGGAAGTGAGTTTGTATGCTGGGATTAAGATTTTGTCCTACAGCGGGGAAATGTCAGTGTTGCATCACCAGTTACAGAACAGTACGAATGAGGAGCACACAGCACAATATAAATAAAACTTCATACTGAATAAAGCCAAATAAAAAATCTCTAACTCTAGCATTATGAGTACAAAAACTCTGACTTTGGCATAACAAAGAAATATAAAATCTCTACCTTTGCCATAATAAGAAGCAAGTATAAAGTACTGTGTATTCTAGTGCAAGTATTTTATAGTTGAAGCTGCAAGCTGGTGGTGTTATACCAGATTTGGGCAATTTCAAGGGCCATCATACGGCACCCCATGGTCTATCTTGCCTCTATCAATATTGACGGGAAGATTGGGACGTTTGGCTGTCTATCAATTTGAGCAGTCTAAGTAGAAAGTCCAAAAAAGTGTGTGGATGGATGGGAGTCAATACTGAAGGCTCGCAACTAAATACGTGCTACCGCGGCATGTTAAAACTACAGTGTATTTCCCAAGAAAACAACTATACCATTTAATTTGCTCCGATTAATTCAATTCAAATGAAATTAGTAATGCAACTCCTCACATGACTTCACGCTCTCTCCATATACTGACAGAAGCAAGGCTGCTATCACTGTATTTGCCATGAACCTCTCTGGCCTCCAATCATTCACATACTCACCAGACTCACAAAAAGCAATGTGATGGAAGTGTCTTGCCAAAGGACACAAAGACAGTTAATCACTTTACAAACACAGATTTTCCACTGTGGTGTTCCTATAGAGGTCTCCCACCACAGTACTGACAATATTATGATGTTATTCCTGGGTTCTACGTCATGGTGCTACGTCCCTTAGGACTTCGCTAGTGGGATATCACTCGTGACCCCCAGGTCACACGCCAGAGAGATCAAAATAATTTGCTCCAATCCCCAGCCACCGTCCTCTATAAATGCCCCTGCACAAGGCCGCACCCCTCTTTCACTCTGGCGCCGTTTGAGATCTACTACAGTACTTACTTCATTCTGAGATGTCTTCCTTATTCGTCCGAGTTCCCTTCGCCCTCCGGCGTCGGACGTCATCGCTGGATCCAGACGGTGGAGGACTTCACCTCTGTGGGCGCCACCACTCGAGGGAGGAGGAGGATACAACCCACGTTGTGCCCGCGGATGGACCCGTTCGTCCATTACGCGACACGTGAGCTGCCCCTAGCAGCCAAGAGGCCTGCTCTGGGGCACGACATGTACTGCAGCGGGCAGGACCGGTCCTGGACCAGTTATCGAGGATTCAGTCCGCATGGCCCTGCAGCCCTCCGCATCCGTGTGGCCCGGCACCAGACCTCTCCTTCCCTCCGAGCGGGACAGGATGTCTTGCCGATGCTGGATAGATGTTATGCCAATGCGGCACAGGTCGTCGCATTGGCTAACAACATGGTTTTCATCACGGGGGCCCTGGATAGGTCGCTCTCCTCTGTCCAGGCGCTCAGTTTATTATCGGGAGGAAGATGGCGGCCCCGGGTGTGGCAGGTGTAGCGGCAGCGCTCTTTGCTTGTGCACTGCTCACTAACACCTTTTTTTACATAGACACAGGTCAAATTCTGGATGACTCATACAGTTACAATGGCATAATCAAACCTATATCAATGGACTTTGTGCCTATCAAATTCACCAAACATCTTGGACTTGGAAGACACGTCCTGGCTTCTATGCTCGTTCATCCATATCTGCATAGCAAAATCAGAAAGCCCTCCAAACCGGCATTAAAGCCGCAACAGAGCCTCGCACTAATGATCACCATCTACCTTCTGCTGTCCGGGGACATCCACCAATGCCCCGGTCCGACAAATGGCCTAACATCAGATAGCCACCACAGCATCACATCAAACCACTGTAAGAGCATCCCAGGAAACTCACAGGTACGCACGTTTACTACAAGCTACATGTTTGAGCTAAACACTCACCTCGATTCTCTCATCTCCCCGGCGAGCGCGGCGGAACCAGTGATCGGCGCGGACGTGGTCACCGGTTGGATGGATCCATCAGGGACTAGCGGCGAGTTTACCGGCTGCGCCGCTCTGCCCTCTCCGCCGCACGGGATGCCCCCGTCAATCGGGTATTTGGACGAGGACGCCTTCCAGGTTGGCCGTGGAGCGCTGTTTCACCGGGGTTCATCGTGCGCATTAAACTGTGCCGTGAGGGCTTCGGCGCAGGGGAGTGTTGTCAACAGTCCACAAACAATTGATAGGAGTGGCAGCAGCGATAGTACAGCAGGGACGGCATGGTTGAAAGCTGGCACTTGCACGGATCTTACCGGAACGGCCGGATTGCTAAACTCCAGGTGTCAGACCCTTTCTACTACGGCAAGTAAAATCCGAGCCCCATCTTCTCTTTCTTGTAAGTTTGAGCACTGTGCAACAGGTGACAGCACAGAAAATGTAAAGCTACTTACAAATAACGTCAACAATAGAAACAGGAAACTGCCAAATCCCGCAATAATAAAACACCGGAAACTCCGGGTATTTCAGACAGTTAATAACTCTAAATTAATTTGGGACTCAAGATCCAAACCAAAAGGCATTCTATGTGCACATTTAAATATACGAAGTATCAAGTCAAAAAATGATCAAGTCCGCCACCTACTTACTGACTCTAATATTGACTTTCTATGCCTTTCTGAGACATGGCTTCATGAAACCTCACCCTCTGCAATAACATCTATACCCGGTTATAAAATGTTTCGTAAAGACAGACAGGGTTCCAAGGGAGGGGGGGTCATGATTTATGCCAAGGACTCATTTAACTGTAATGAAATTCATGTTGCAAATGAGAATGATTTAGAAATTCTTGGTTTAAATGTAACTTTGTCACAGCAAATGTCCTTCATTCTTGTTGTTATTTATAGGCCTCCTTCTTCAAATGCAGATTTTTATGAAAACCTGGACATTTTATTAAAACAACTCAACCCTGCAAAAGAACTTATAATAATGGGTGATCTAAATGTTAATTGGGAAGTCAAGCAAATCAGGAAAAACTTGAAAAAGGTTATGGATAAAATGGATATGAATCAGGTGATTAAAGGCCCTACGAGAATTACAAACACTACGAGCACTCAAATTGACTTAGCTTTTACAAACAGGCCAGAAAGGATTTTGAAATCATACAATATGCTTACTGGATTGTCTGATCACAATCTCATAATGGTAACCAGAAAACTAAATAAAAAACGTTTTAAATCTTTGCCAGCCAGAGAATCCTTTAGGATACCAAAGCAGGAACAACAAACCTTCATAGATTCAATCCATGGTGTAAATTGGGATGAATTACTCTATGGCATAAACTTGGACAAGGACTGTTCTCAATTCTCTAACAAAATACAGCAAATTATTACACAATTTACACGGAAAATTAAACTAAGAGCTAAAAAAAATGGTCTTCCCTGGTTAAATGAATCTATTTTGAAATTGATGAAAGAACGAGATCATTCCTTGAAGTTGGCTGTAAAATCAGGCTATAACAGGAATCAATTTATCTCTTTAAGAAACAGAGTAGTGAAAGAAATAAGAAAATCTAAAGCTGACTTTTTCATCACTGCTTTGAAAAGTGCACGTGGAAATTCTAAAATAACCTGGCATTATATAAAAAAATTGACAGGTGACTCCCACAAAAGTAAGACCAAACAAATGCAAATTGAATTAAATGGAGACATTTCAACAGAACCAAAAGTAATAGCTGATGCCTTTAACAATTACTTTATTGAATCTGTAGCAGAAATCTCTAAGAACTTTACAGTAAAACAAAAAAAAGAATACTCATTGTCTGCTACACAGTCTTTTTTCATAACAAACATCACTGAGACCAAAGTCATTAACATAATTAAAACCCTCAAACCATCTAAGGCCAGGGATGTCTTTGGAATGGATACAAACATGCTTAAAGATTCAGGATCCGCTCTGGCTACTCCCATTGCTTCCATCATTAATCTCTCAATTTCCAGTGGTCACTTTCCAAAGGCCTGGAAATCTGCTATTGTTACACCAGTTTATAAATCTGGTGTTCCAACCTCTCTGAATAACTACCGACCCATAAGCATTCTTCCGACCATTTCCAAAGTTGCAGAAAAATGGGTGGCTGAGCAGGTTGTCCAGTATTTAAACAATAGCTCCCCCTCTTTTCACGCCATGCAGTTTGGTTTCAGATCCAAACACTCCACTGAAACGGCTACATGCCTTTTTATTGAGAAAATAAAATCTTCTCTTGACAAGGGTGGAGTAGTAGGGACGGTATTCTTGGATCTCAGGAAAGCTTTTGACACAGTTAACCACTCTGTTCTCCTTACTAAGCTCTCACAGTTTAATTTCTCTCGTGACATTGTGAGTTGGTTTGAATCTTACCTGCATGATTGTACACAATCTGTATTAATTAACAACAGCAAGTCTGAGTCTCTTAGGCTAACCACCGGGGTTCCTCAGGGCTCAATATTAGGCCCCCTCTTATTTAGCCTTTATATTAATGATCTACCAACTGTCTGCTCTGAAGTTGAATGTTTGATGTATGCAGATGACACTGTTTTATTTGTTCACGGTCGCTCAAAGGACATTGTTGCTGCTAAACTCACTAAAGCAATGAATCTTATCACATCCTGGCTGCAGGAGAACTGCCTGCAGCTAAATATTTCAAAAACTGTAGGTATGTTTTTCAGTAAAGCCAATAGAGCCTCATTTAATCCTGACATACTAGTTGCTGGAAAAAAATTACAAATTGTAAATCAATACAAATATCTTGGGTTAGTAATCGACTCACACCTCTCCTTTAAAGCCCATATTGACAAATTATGCAAAAATATAAAATTTAATCTTGCAAATTTCCGCTCAATCCGTAATGAAATGTCAATCGAAGCTGCAATAATTTTTCTACATTCCATGATTCTCAGCCACTTTAACTACT